CATTGGTGAACACAAGTGAAGAATGATATATGTTCAAGATCAGCGGGACTGACTTCTCCAACCTAGACTATCTCATGATTTTATGAAATTGCTATTGGCAAATAAGCAGTCAGCTCATATTGTGGTAGGCAGAGGTGCATATTCGAAGAAAACAATCGTATATTGGAAGATATCCGTTTTAATTTTTTGGCAGAGTTCAACATTTTGATACGAAGCTAAACTTATACGATGTCAGCGCAAATTATTTCTAAAAGGACTGTATTTCCAGACACATTTTTGAGGCAGATTAGATGCTTCATGCTTTCATAGGGTACTGATACTACGTAGCATAGGTGGGAAGTTGCAAATTGAATATTGTGGCATGTACTGTGTGTTTTATTTCAAAAGATAGAGATGATACAACCATGTAGGAAAGATGATGTGATCGTTTTGATTATATTGAAACAACCATCATTCGGAGTCAGTATCTCGTCCATGGTTAACGAATAGTCACGACAATTCATCGGGATCTGAGAATGGCTGCACAGCTTGCCGAATACAAATCATCCCAGTTCTGATGTGCTCCGATTATATAAATCACCTTGGCTTAATAGTATTAATTATTTTAAGGCTAGCAAGCGATGTTCTATCCTCGCAAATGCGATAGATCTACGTCAACAGCTGTTGATATAATTATTTGATTAGAAAACGGCTTCCGAAAGTCGTGTTCACTATGGCTCAACACAGAATTTTATCACTTACAGCAACCTGTCGCTGCTCCACTTGGGTATCTTTTCAAATTGCGCTCGAAAGGGGGTGGAGGAGAAAATTCTGACTGCGAGTGGAATACCCACTTGCCACCTTCAGATAGAGGCCCTTCTGGTGGTCCGGTATCCTGTTGTCTGTAATAGCTTTGCGATCGCTGCACAGGCGATGGTGCTCTATACATAGATGGCGATTGCGAGGGTGCTCCCGAACGTGAAGGAGGAGGAGGTGGTGGTCCTCTTGCAGATGACGTTGGACGGACTGGTGGAGGTGGAGCCGGGCCACGGCTGGAAGGTCTATTCATTTGCGAAACTGTAGTCAGTTAGCTTCGAAGCAATAGGAAGGAGGTCTGCCTGAACCTGGAGCTGCAACTGATATAGAGCCAGTGATAACGTCATAGAATTTTAACTGAGCAAATTACCAGCATTTGGTCAAATCACGTGCGCAATGCTTGGAGCCGCCAAAAGTCAGCGACAATATTCTACCGTTACCCGTTGTCGCGTTCCAAGCAAAGGTTATTCTGCAATGTCGCAGCCAGAGGATGCTATTGATAGAACACCAGAGTATAATCGCTTTATGGGCGAACTCAGGGAGTTTCACAAACGCCATGGGTAATTATTATCTCCCTCGCACTGTTTGATCTACACTTTTGCTCTCCAAACTTACTGATCAATTGACTGAATCTGTAGCACATTCCTACAAGCTGAACCTGTTTTGGGTGGTAAAAAGCTTGATCTACTCAAGATTTGGCAACGTGTCCAGGAAGCAGGTGGTTTTGAACAGGTGAGTGCTATAGCCTGTTAGCTGTTGAAATGCAGGTACGCCTGGTCCTTAACAATGCTCCAAACCTGCGCACATAGGTCACGCAAAGTCGTACATGGAAACAAGTTGGCGACCCTTTCAACTTTCCTGTGACTTGTACCAATAGCGCTTATGTTTTGAAGGCTGTTTACATAAAATACATGGTAAGAATGCGGACCGCTTTTTAATGCGTATAATTTCCTATGCTAACAATGAAATGCTAGTTGGGCTACGAAGAAGAAAAGGTATGGGGAAGGCAGTGGGTGCCACCAAGTGATGCTCTAGAGGTCAATCAGCGGCCTGGACAAGCCGCAGGATCTCCTGGTCCTCCAAAGCTTCCTGTAGCGTATAAGCCAACAAACGTTGTACGACGCACTGCCACAGGTACCAACATAGTTTAATTACCTTTGCAGCATTAGCTGTTATCACAGTGGCTAACAGATCAATCTAGCCTTTACTCCGCAAGCTGCTTCAGGGCCATACACAGCGCAACCAGGACCACAGCGACCACCGCCAAATATGCCTCCTACTAGACAATTAATGCCTTTTGATGGTACGTTGCTCGTAGCTCTTATTGTTGTGGAAGCATGTATTGAGTACTTTGTCTTTGCAGTACTTATGTATGACGAGAATTTTCGCACTCGTATAACTCTGGCGCTCAAATCTCGACTACCGAATGAGATTGATTGGGCATTCAATAATCTCGTTCGGTTATCTTTTGCGTCAGATAATTTTAACTTCGGGTATATGCCTCAATTATTGGAGAGCCTTATCAGTTTTGCGGATCCCTTCTTTCAAAAATACGTGTTCTTACCGACTGGAAGCGATGTCAATGCCACAAATGTAGCTCTGCCTGAAGATGAAAGCGCTCAATTGAACGGCGTTACCGCCATGGAAGGCATTGAGCAAGAAAATGACACAATCATTGCCCCTTCCACTACACAAGATGAGAATTTCGAATATAGCAGTCCCAGCGATCCTACATTATCGCAGCATGCTGCCAACGAAACAGACGATCACCTTTTCAACAGTAAAGAGTATCAAGAGAGTTTGGAGCGTGTCCTTCAAGTTTTACATATCTTGCGAAACGCATCATTTCTGGAAAGCAACATGCGTACCATATCACAAAACCGTGAGCTACCAAGTATGCTCATCAAAGGCCTGGCATTCTCAGGTCGGGCTCAATATATTGAATTGTCTCGACACTGTCTTGATATACTAGAGAACATCGCCCCGTGTATCATTTTGAAGAGCCGTGTGGATCCATACCTTGTCTCCTTGTCTAGGTTGGTGTTCACAAACGACAAAGCGTTGATATTAGGAGCTACGAAGGCATTAACTCGTGTAGCAGTTACGGAAGTGAACGAAAAGATTTTCACGATTCCTGATCTGGATCTGTTGAAACGAATGATTGAATTCTTATTCGTCAATGACGAAGAACTTCTTGCTGCTACTTTAGAGTACTTGTATCAACACACCAGTCTTCACAGCGACCTTGCGACAGAGCTTCTCAACCTATATCCTGGAAACCTTATTGGTTTGCTCACTGGATTTTTGTATTACAACTCTTCAATTGTACCCAATGGAACCGTTGCAAATACAGACATGGTGATAGAGACTGAGCAACCGCAAGGTGGTGGTCCCACACAACCGTCTAAAGGACCTAGCATACCGGACTTGACGAATTATGCACAGCTAGATGAACCCTTCCGTTGCTTAGGATGGTAAGCTATGAAATCTGAACTTGCTGTGATGCCTGCCGTGCAATGTAGATTGTATCTAATGGATTGTGTCATTTAGGGTTAAGGATAAGCTTGAGTCAAGCGGTCCAGAGGACACATTGACGTTAGGTGAAGTTTACAAAACCTATCAAGTTCGGTTTGAAAACAACAAACCACTTGGCATCAAAGAGTTTTACACTGTGCTCAAGATTGCACTACCTCAAGCGAATCAGCCTGCTGAGCTAGAGCTGGAAAATGTAAAGCTACAAAACATAAAGTACAAATCAAGTAAGTATAAAGGTTTCAATAATGAGTGGGCTGACGAAGTTAAAGCAACTCACAAACATAATTTTCGCAAAGGACTGGATTTCAACTGCCTTTGGCAAGATTGTACGGAAGGCTTTGCATCCGAAAAGGAGTTGCATCAACACATTCTTGAAAAGCACGTTCCAAAATCCGATGTGCCCACCGAGTACACCTGCAAATGGATGTCATGTAACCGATTTGCAACACCTGTAGCTGATCGCCATACGGTGTTGTCGCATCTTCGAATTCATTTTGCACCGAAACCGAAGCAATCCATCAAAAAGCGAATACTTATGTCTCCCAAAAACGCTCTCCCGGTCGATGACTCCGAGATTTCTGGCGTTCCACTTACTGCAGCACTTCTCTTAAGAAACTTGGTCAAGGAGAAGCGACACCATGAATACTTTTTACCTTATGAGCAAGATATCACCATGACTGGTATTCATCGCCCGAAATTAGAACGATACACTGTTGCTGTTATGACTGCTTTGCAATCATGACAACCTTCCATTTCTTTCCTTCATATACCGTTACAAGCGCAAGTTAATTGAAAACCTTTTAAAAGAGTTCTACAAGATTTGAGAGACTGTTTCTACTACATCTGTAAACCTAATAAATGACTGTACATATTGAAGTGATGGGTAGGCGTGCGGTAGCGGAACATTTTACAACAACAAATTCAAGTTATTTAATTTCATGTCGTCATCACTCTTGCTGTACGTACCGACTATGATTGCGCGTTTAGGCTCACAAGTTCCGCAGATCTCACTTTCCACACGTATATATCATGTCAGCACCAGTTACTACAAAGTCTGCCGAAAACACGGCAAAACCCGAAGATACTAAGACTGCACCCCAACTGGGTGCGCTAGAGGAGGATGACGAATTTGAAGAATTTGCCGCAGAAGGTAAAGCATATGTTTCAGGAACTGAGCTAATTATGAGCATCGAGCGCTGATCTTACACGACGCTTTGTTACAGACTGGGAAGAAACGGAAGAAGACACTGAAGACGCACATTTCTGGGAGGATAATTGGGATGACGATGATGTTGAAGACGATTTCTCCAAGCAACTCAGGTTAGTGCTGACAGTAGCTCATACACAATCTCCATAGTGTACAGCCAACACTTGTATTAAAACCATTACTCGCTTATCTTACTGCAGAGCGGAATTGTCAAAAGGATCACAACCACAACCAATGAAAATGTAAATTTAGCAAGCTCTAGAAAGCAAACAAAAGGAAAATCACACCCTCAGTATAAAAGATATTCTCACAAACGACACCAAATGATCCCCCAAGTCAGGTTTCTAGCCCAAGCTACGGCTGAGTTACTAGTCGTGGGATAGTGTACAGAAAGCAAATAGTGTTGTTGCATCAAGAATATTGATTATAAACAATAGTGGTGGATGATCTAAGGAAGTTTATTATGCAATGTCTATGAAGATAATGTGGACAATAGTTGGATATTTGTAGCGTGTACAGTACGATGTACTAGATTTCAATGTTAATTGAGAGAGGCCATAGAAGGCTTATGCATATGGATTTGGCTCAAGCTTGTCGAGTGCGTTTCGGCTGGCGAAGCGGCACATCCGACAAATTGCCACCGATAATACCTTCCATTGCGATAAGATAGAGACATGAACCAAAGAAAAGGATGCACTGGAGTAAAAACCTTGGAGCAAAGATTTTCCAAGTCATGAGATGCCGACGCAATACAATAATAAAAATGGATGAGAGGGTAGTGGGAATGAAGTTGAAGAGGGACATAAGCAAAACCGATGCCTGGTAAATTGTCTGACGCAACGTGGGATCTTGGTTGTCACCCAATGCCTGACTGACAACTACGAAACTGCTTGACCATGAGACGATAAAGCCGGCTAGCGTGGCAAGTGATACCAATATTGCGTTAGGAATCATATACATTTCGTCAAAGCCAATGAATGCTGTCTCCCAATGAATAGCAGTCAAAATAGCCTGATGACCAGTCACAAAGAAGAGGTGTTCCCCAAGATAGTGCAGTATAACCAGTCGTGCTGTGAGAGTCTTGGATATACTGCTTTTGTCAGACATCCTAGTCAAATTTTGTAGCATGAGTGGCCAACATAGGATGATCACCCCACCGATTGGTCGTTGAATTGTGGCGAGAATGATCGTGCCGCCTATATGAGCAATCCAGGCTGACTCTTCTAACTCTTTCAGATCGACAGGTCTCCAGGCTTTACGTAAAGCAAATGAAAGGAACAGACCACCAATCGCATAATTGAGGCGTGGAATGTAGATCTGGAAGAGGCGGGTGGTCATACGCAACCATTGTGTTGCTGTTAAACCATTAAGGTGAATTACTACACTTGACAGATTCTGATATATCGAAGATTGAAGGATTGAAACTACAATATACTGGGTTGACGAGGTATTTTCGAGAATCAAATAAATGTATCGCAACATGATGAGACCAATCGACAGTCCATAGAGTATCTTGCACCATATGTATGAAGTTGACGAAGTTCTGTTCGGCTTAGACGAAGGGAACCAAGCTTGCTGCAGCACTTCTGGTAAGAATGTGCAAAGAAAAATGGATACAATTAAGAATGCTGTTGTGGCGATGACCGTTAACCACTTGTCAACGAAAGCATTTTCATTTGTTGAGCTGTCAGCCTCGCGAAATGGCATCAATGACAAAGACCCACTATGTATATATGCACATTGAGGTTGTTGTTCCTCCCGACAGAGTCCAGTTGTAGCGGTAACCTGAATAAATAGTAAAGTGATGATGGGTGCCCATAAATCGGATGAAGATTTGAGAGACCGGAGGGTATGACTGGAAGTGGCAACACCACGTATCAACCAATAGATGGACCAGGAGGCAAGGATAAATCGAACAACACTGTCTTCATAAACAATGAAACTGTTGGATCCCAAAGTCAACGCATGAGCAAGACCAGTTATCAAAACGAGGTTAACATCAGGATTATGCGAAATCCATTGGATGCATTTCTGGATAGCACTCAAAGTGAGTTTACTTTGAACGGCAACGGCAATGGCCAAGCCAGCTATATTTCCCATAAATGCAAGAGTTGCTGTCCAACCAAAAATGGACATTTTATCAAAGATGCCGTGCCTTGCCACATACAAGTACCATAGACCAGACTCTTGAGTAGATAGATGAGCTACAACAAACCCAAAAATTAAGCCAATTGCAGCACCGAGAATTGTCAAAAGTCGAACAATAGTGTGATTGAAAGCTCGATGCAAGGTATATATCCACGAGGGCTTGATAAACACTCCAACAATGGTCAATAGAGCTGCAAAAAGGATCACGGAGCCCGCAACCATACATCCAACATCAAATTGCGCCCAAATTGCCATACAATATTTGAGAGTAGCAATGAGAAATTCGTCGTAGGTCATGAGTATGTCTTCAAGCTGCTCGACCAATGTGTTGCGCTCTTTCTCGGATAAAAGTGACGCGCCTATCCAATTCTTGAATGTGGTTTGCGATGAAAGATCATCCAGGCGTCTGTCAGCAGCATACAAAATTTGAAACAGCGGATCCAATGCTGATATCGAAAAACCTTTATGCTTGCCTGAGCTTGAATACATGGTCAAGTAATTGTAAACCTGCAAGGCATTGATACGAAATTGTTGGATGAAGTACAATAAGGAAGCTGGATCATCCACTTGTTGTTTTGGATACAGAAGATCAGGTATCAAAGCTCCAAGATTTCCAAATGGAATAGGCGTGCCAAAGAGATAACTTAGTGTAGGAACTAAATGAATTTGTGACACGATGGGGTATGCAGTAGCATCATATCCCAACCTGGTTGTTATGGCGTCATGGTCGTACGATAAAGTCTTATCCCTATTGCGGTGTATTTTTGAAAAAAGGTGCTGGAAGTAGTTTTGATTAAGGTCGCCTTTCGTGTGCTTTGAACGGGACAAGGTAAGAGGTCGCTTGGAATGCAATAGAAGACCGCTCATAACCTCTTCTTCGCTCTCACCGCCATGATCGCCTGCTACAGACATACCATGATCACCGAATAAAATTAGGAGAGTGTCCTCATCTACATATTGAACAAGTTGTTGAAGCATCGTGTTCATTTCGTCCAATTTTGCTGCCATACTTGGGTGTGACGGACCGTAGGTATGGCCACAGTGGTCCACGCCAAGAAAATGTGTGATGATGCAATCCCATTGGGAGCTATTAGAACCTGTATCTGTCAGACTTGATCTTGTTTGATCCTGAGGCAAATGTCCATCTAGCAATGGCCATAGCTTCCCGAGTATTCCGTGATCAACTGTATCCAAATCAAAGACTTTGAAAGAATCGAAGGGAAAGGTCCTGGAGTTATCATTCAATACATCGCTAAATAAATTAATCCACGTATCGTCGCCCATAAAATAAGTAGACTTGAATCGCCGTGTAAGATGTCTCAGTAGATGATCTTCGCTAATATCAGAGGAAGCGAAATTACTGCCAGCATCAATGAATGTCGGGAGTGACCCTGTCATCAGAGCTTTTAGCCTTTGCATTGTAGTGGTAGGAGGGTCAGCCCTAAACTGAAATAGTACAGTTGACTCAGGTGATTGGTCCAACAGGTCTTGTACGATGGGCAATCGATTGGTATAGAATTGATCGGATGGCCGTTCACCGAGTTTTGGCAAAAAGTCAAAGCGTAAAGCATCGATGAGGACGATGATAGCACGCTGAAAGGGCGGTTCATAGATATCTGAAATTCCTTTTGACTGGGCAATGCTCTCCATGTCAATAGATTTTTCGACATGGTCGTGGCCTGATGCTAAGGGAAACTGATTCCAGGGACTTGACAGATGGGTGCTCTCGACATGCAAGGTTTGGCGCGTTAATAGAAAGCCGTTTAGGAATAAGTATATTCCAAGTGTATAGGCTAAGGAGACCCAAACTAAGAAGATGGCGAAGGGCCTTCTGTAACTTGCATTCATCGCATTGGTAGCTTTGAAAAAGTGACACGTTATACTTAACAAATAATTTCAGGGTATTGTGCATATCACGCACGATCCAGAAAATTTCCCTGGTTCAAAATGAGGATAATTATCTGAGCTTAATAGGGCGAATAAACCTGAAGCGACATCTTATTTTCAGGAGCAAGCATTGAACCAAACGAATGATATAAGAAGACAAAGGCAACATATCAAAAAATCCTCAAAAAATAACAGTGTATTTCAAGCTATTGGTATTCCAATAATTCAAAGGGATGATTATATGTTACCGTACTGTATCGTACTTTACAGACTATAAAAAAAATAAAACTTGAAAATAAAGGTTATGGCGGTGGCCATTGGACATCACTGTCAACCCATGCCACCCTTCTTTTTACGACGACCTGGATGCGCTGCACCATCAACAATACGCCGCACAAGCACAAAAGTACCGTCTGATGAAATTACGACATCTAGCAATGGTTGGGAGAGGTTGGTCAGCAATGAGCATGTACCTTAATTGATCTTCATATAATCAAACCTAATGCACTTACTTTGGATCATGTCTGCCATACAATACCCACCAAGATTGGCCTGCCAGAAATAAAAGTCAGAAATCACGTCTCCGCTTTCCCAATGGCTTTCCAAATCCTTTTGATGCTTAAACGCGAGTGGATGAAATGCTTGTTCTCGCATGACACCCCATTCTGGATGGCAGGGTTTGTTCAGGTCGGTCATGTTCATGGTAGTAGCGCTAGACGACCGATTCAGTTCATGCGCATTTGGATGTGAAGAGATTTTATGCGGTTGATCAATGGTCATTGTCGAAGAATCCAGCTTTCTTGGTTTTTTTTTTTTTTTTTTGGTCTTCAATAGATATTATAGAAAGGAGAGGATATAAACCAAAAGACAATTGTCTATGATTTTTCGTTCGTAGAGGGGAAAGGAAGGTAGACGAGGTAGGATTCTATAGTATGTAGGCAATGTATCCCATCACTTTGTTTCGCCTGGAAACTTTGTGAAAAGAATAAATAGACCAGGCGTAATAGAAAGTAAAAGAAAGAAGAAAAGGTGAGTTTGATGTGAACGACAAGGTAAAAAAAAAAAAAAATAGAGAACGGGTTGACTTCCTCTTTACTTCATTTTATTTTTACAATGGATATATAAGAAAATCCACTGACTACCTTTACACTAGGTAGAGAGTGATCTGGATTTGAAGCAGCGAGGAGACGATCTTCACTGGATTGAGAAACCGCGCTCCCTTAGTCAAAGCCCCCTTCCTACGATAGTCGCAAGACACTAGCAAGCCTCATGGTCGCTCTTGACAACCGAACAATGCAGGAGCAGGTACAATTAGCAGCGACCTTGTGGCTTAAGCTGCAATACATCCGTATAAAAAGTGATAGTCATAGAGAGCACATGGCTAATACACTGTTCATCAAAAGAGGTTTTATCATGACAAGGCACGGCAGCAGTAAAATTTATGGTTGCACCCCTTCGTTTTTGGGATGAGGACGGATACAGGTCTTGACTTGTACGGGTAACCTTTTCCTCCCCTGGTCTCCCCTGATGATTGCATGCTGCAGTATATTTTCAGCCTGCGTCTTCAAGGATTGATTTGGTGTCTTCTGCAGAAACAAGTATTCAGTTTGCATACTATGGGAATTACTACTTTTTAAACATCCACAGCTGATTACGGGATATTTGCTACACTAAATGCAATTACATCGCGGTTAATACATGTTTATTTCGGTGGCAGCATCCAAGGTTTTGTCAGCCTTTCGTGTCCTGAGGATAGAAGAAATCAACACCAGAATTTTTTTATCCCCTATTGAAGATCACCGACTGACTGGGCTGTAGTCAAGAGCACCAAAATTACATCCCTGAATTTTTTTCTCACTGAGGATTTCTGAAATGCCATTTGAACGACAAAAGTTACAAAGCAAAGAGGCACATAGTTTATGACATGTACGCTTGCCTTTCAGCTTTGTCACCGGCAAGAAACTTAACATTTGAATTGATTCATGGCACCCATTACAAATCCGTGAGAAACTTCGTTACACATCATGTCGACAAAGTCTTAAAATGAATATTGTTAATCAAAGAGAATAGTAGTGCGCAAACTGGTGGTAAGTTCTGCGCTAAACTCATTCGAGGGATCTAGGTCTGAGCAGCTTTTTCTGTTCCGTTGACGCGGGGGTACGCGTAAGGAAAGTCAACAGTGATGTAGCTGCCTCAGATCTCGAAAGGCAAAGTGAACTTGGGTAAACATATGTGAAGATACGAATTTTTTTTTTATGTTCTGCGTGTGCTGTGCCGACCACAATGTTATTGTTTATGAAATCCTTGAAACAATTATGAAAAGCTGGCAGGCACAATACAAGACACTTGGCATCACACGAAAACCTGTACATGCAGTACTTGTGGGGGTTCGCGTCTTTTTATAAATAAATGACTCGACTCAATCCCCATTAAACATCTTCGACAGAATATTTGTTCTGTGTTGCCCACACTACTGATCATCGTACGAAAACAAAGTAGTGTACATCGACCTTCTCCTAGATAGCAAGCAACGTCACAAGAGCTGTAATTAATAGTTAAAAAGGGTGTGAAAAGGGGTTTGGCTGCAGTAGTACGAATCACAGACACAGCAATATATGACAGATCGTCGTGTGTGTGCATGGATGACGGGTCCATGTAAACGCGCCCGCCCTTTACCCTGCTTAGCCTTCATTTCCGCACTGGCCAGCCATGCGGACTCAACCCCATTACGTCTGAGTATGAAACAAAGCGCTAAAGAGTAACGCTACACTGGTTAATTTGGCGGAGGTGGCATACCGAACGTTACAAATTCAATATGCGAGTCGTGGATCCCGGGATTGTCCACGCCCACCCACTATTTCTTTATTTTTCACCAGTGCTTGAGCGATGATGGAGTTTTGTGGTAGTCAATATTGAGTATTTTTATGTTATCCTCTAGAAATAAACTCAGTAGCTGTGAAACGCCATCCCAGGATTCACTACTCGTACAATCAATGGACATGTCATCGCGACTTTTATGTACAAAAGGAATTGTCTTTAACCAAACAAACAAGAGCAAACAAAAGCAAAGAATAACAATGTGAATATTTCAAAAATAACATATATGACGAAAGTAAGTAGCCGACTTTGTTATTGCAGCGTAAACTGGCCACTAGTTTGATCCCCAGTATCAGTTATGTGACGAGAATTGTTCCAATATTTTGAAACAGTCGAATTGCATTGAATTTGGTTGAATTTGTATCTTTGTCTTGACATTACTGTACTACTTTGGAATTCACTGTGGTGATGTAGGATTGCCTTTGACCGCAAAGGCAAGTATGTTTTCAACTTAAAGGGCTATTATAATAAATAATTTTTCTTTTCTGGTTGCTCCTTCTGTCGTCTATGTAGTGTGCTCGTATACAGAATGTACGGATCTACCAGGTTTTCTGGCTGATGAAGTTGGGGTGGATTCCCCGTTGCGCTGAGGGTCATCTGAATCATTTTGTATCGATGTTTGTCGTTCAGGACCCGAGAATGGAGAAGGTTCATTATCAGGTAAAAAAGAACGAACTGTCTTGTTTGTCTTGCCAACCTCAAAGTTTTGCCATATATAATTAGTGCACTTTTCAGCGTTGGGTAAATCTTGAATCATTTTTGCAATGGTGTTTTTGCGCAGACCAAAGAAATCTGGTCCAACAGGATTATGCCCATACTCCATATTTCTAACTGCGAACGCTCTGTGATCGATAGTAAGTTCAAATTGTGGATTAGTTTAAAGGTTGTGTAACAATGTTTCGAGCACTTTTGCCCGTACCTTCTTACTGCTATTGTCCATACGGTAGTACATGTGGGGCCGGTAAAAACTTCGTCCATGTTATCGTCGGCTTGCAATCGAAACTATGTAGAATATGGCATGGTATCGATTAGCAAAAAAGGCTGAGAGGCGTCTTGAGATGCATTCACATTTCTTTTTCCCGCTTGGTTCACTTACGATAGGTTCTTTGCCTCCATCCAGAATTTCACAAGTGTACTGTGTATCGTTTAAGGGATCCACCATGCTTCTGTACCATCTAAACATTGGTGTAGATTTTGGTTTCGTTAGAATGTGCAACCTGGCGCGCCCTTTTTTTTTTTGGCTGGAAGACGAAGTATCGCTGACTCATCTTCGAACCAGCACAGCCTACTTACTTTTTTACACGGTAACCAACGGGGTAGATATAACGTTGATTGTGGAATGCTGGCCTATCCCAAACGACTTTTCCAAGGTCATATACTGTCCATGAATCGACTTCTACTGGCAAGATATACTTTCCACTTTCATCTTTGGCTACATCTACCACAGAACGAACGTCATTGTTTGGTGGCTTGGTGTCTCGCTTCTTACGTCTAAAGCGTGGCATTTGGCGATTACTCGCGGCTAAGGTGGTCTGGTGATTGGGAGTGGTCGCGTCGGGAGACTCGCTTTGAGCATAGGTTGATTCTAAGGGTGGCGATGGAACCGAAGGGGTAACATGTCGCGTGGGATTGATTGGTGTGAATGCGCCCCCTTTTACGGTGTGTGTAGAAGGCGGACTCAGTCGCCGCCTCTTTGAGTGCTCCCCATTCTGGTCATAATCCATTGGTCTTTCATCTTGATAATAAGATCTGTTGGGTGTTGAAGATATATCTTCTCGTACAGGGATAGGTCTAATGGGTGGCAAACGCGTAATGGGTCCATCGCTAGGCCCTTCATCTGATAATTTGCGTGTTGGTGTTCCAAATCGATTCCCCCCTAGCCTCCTGCGGCTAATGAACGAATCAAATTCATTTTCTTGCGATGAATTGGCTGTCTGCGCTGACGGCGATGAGCCAGGCAAGCGTGAAATGGACATTGGTCGTGGTGAAAAATGAGCCGATTGGGATGCGGATGGGGCCGATTGAGGTTGTGGTATTTCAGATCGATACCCGCTGCTCCCACTGTCATATGCTGGTGAATTCCATGGATTTTGCGGTCGAGGCAACGTAATAGTGGGCTCGTTCTGATTCCGGCCGCGCGTAAGCGAATGATAGAAATCGGTCTTGGTAATGCGATGTGTCTAAATATAGTAGGTTTGTCAGCATGGTGATGCATAAGCAATCCAGCAGTCAGAGCACTTTTTTTGGGGGTGGGGGGAGAGCGAGCATCGAGCGAGACAGGAGACTGGCCCACTAGAAAGGATGCTAAAAAAAAAACTTACAGGGTGTAGTTGTAACAACACTTCGGCAATGTACGCGTCATGGTCTTCGTTAGGTTTCGTGAGTCGAGCCATCACAGACGTTTCAGTATGATTATTATCGTTCAATATCCACGACATCAAACCATGCCCTTCCCATACAATATTTTCATCGGTTGAGGTCGCTTTATGGTCTACTTCTTCAAAGTTGGCAGTGTAAACGGCCGAATCCGAATCCGGACGCAAAAGCATATCTGGGCTAGAAGAATGTTTCCAATGGAAGGTAGCACAAACCATCGAGTGTAAGAGGTAAGATACACATACAAAAGAAGCTTTTCAATGTACGCATATCGCTATTAAGTTCAATTTCTTACCAGGACGTGCACACACACATAACACATTGACGTAGAGGAACTTGGACGAGATTGGAATCAGTGGAATTGATCTGGTATGGAAATGAAGCCAGGCATGTTGTTTCTGATCCCTTCCAAGTATAATAGATTTTCACTGTAATAGCAATCAGCCAAATGCTCGGTTATGGCTCATTTTGGTGAAATGTACACAAGTGAGATTAATATGAGATCTAACCTTTGCTTGATATTTCTTGCGCTGTTTCCTTCATAGCTGTACCATTGGAGCTTATGTGCTTGCTGGCAGTCGAAAGTGACGGTGAATGGTGAGACTGTGTCGTCCTTTGATTTGTTGTTTCCTCTTGAGCATATGACATTCAGAAAACAATTAAATAACAAGCAAGATATTATGTGTTCAAGAAGATCAAGCAAGTCAAAGAATCAGTAGAAGTGATGACAAAATAATAAAATTGCAATCGATCCTAATGTTCTTCGGAGAGAGAAAACAAAATATTATCCCAATAAAGGTTGAAAAGTGAAGAAGGAAGAGAGACAAAGTGAGGGAGGAAAGAACAAAAAAAGGGGGAAACAGAGACAGGGCCAACAAACTTCGGGCTAGAATTGGTAGCAGCAGGTAAGGTAGATTTCCCCAATGTCAAGGAAGCGGAAATACTTGGGAAGTGAAACTCTAAAAAAAAAATTAAACGATTTTGAAGTGGAGTGAAAAACCTCTACACTCCCCTTCTCGGTTGTCCAGCAGAAAGTGATATATTTTACTTTCAAATTTCCCACTAAATGGATAAATTGGGTTACGATGTACCAGAAAAAAAAAAGCAAATGTTTACAATATCAGTACAGGATGGGCTATCAGATCATCATTTTTCATATCAACTCCTTTGTAATTCTGCCATGGAATGCCGTACAGGATATAAGGGATGTCAGGTCAAACTTCACATCATTTTGAAGCCCATCATTTTCATCCTCCTCCCCGACTAGATCAGTGTCCTGGAACTTGGCTTTTCAACAAATTGGAAATATTGACAGTAACGACAAATGCAAATGGGAAGAATAACAATTCATAGTGCTATTGGTACAGGTTGAAGCTCAGCGCACAGCATTTGATCACAGGGGGCACCCCGACTGAGCCCAATCCTGGCTGTTGCTTTCAACGGTCCAGGCAATATGAAAACAAACAAAAACAACTTTGTATCAACGTAGCCATGGTTCTGTATTCTACAATATTCTACATAATTTTCGAACAAGCTATATGTCTACTTTATTGAAACACTTATGCATCACTCCAAGTAGTGCGATGCGATGTGTAGATACAATGCAATGACGCACTATTTATTGGACGAAATCGGAACATTCCATACATGGTAAGAGAAGGTTGCCTTGCTATGAAAGTCCGTTTAACACCACAACCAACCAACGTTCCCACCTCAAGAATCCGGGTAAAAAGTAACACCGTTCACTTTACCGTTTACCCCTTCAATGTGTCATAGGCAATCTAAGCAGTAGTTTGGCAGGAAAGAGAGCACAGTGAGGAGCGGGTTCGCAAGTGAGGCAATCAAGTCATGGCGACAGCTAATATTAAGCGTTCCTTCTAGTTCGCAGCAATGACCTTCAGCATCCCGCTATTCGGTACCCCATTTTATTACAATTATTTGGGGGAGCTCAAGCCGGTAGCTCAAGCCAACTACACTGCCACAGAGCTTAAACCGTATTAGAGTATTCCGCAGCAACCATGCAGTGTTTGCAACCCGTTTCTAACGAGAGGATATGATACCACTTTCCAGCTTTGAGGTTGATTTGGAAACCATTGTGCCACAGTTTCGAAAAAAATCCCCAACTTTGTTGAATGCCAACTCCACCAACCCATGTTTCCCACTGTCCCCGAACACCCCTAACCCAACCATTATTCCACCTTTTTGTACACTCCGCTGACTCGCGGTCTTTAGCCGTACATTCGATTTTAAGCCATATTTTCCGCAAGTTATTGTATCGCCTTTCTATTGGGTATGTCCGCCAGTTCGCATCTGCTTCGATGGCGAATATCATACCAATTTCCTATTTTATTTTAGGTCCATTTCATCATTTTTTTAAAAAGCTAATCACCTATGACTACTATACATTCAAGTATTTTGCGTGGTGTTCGATATGATCAGGTACAAAGGTTGAAATAAAATAATAGCTATGGTCATATCCTTCTTGATACCGGACCTTGACTTGGCTTTGTCGGTCGACAGATGCAGCTGCATCTCTCAATTGGTCCAACTTCAGCTGTTCTTTAAGAAAACTGTCGCTGGTACCCTATATGAAAAATTTATAAGTCCAGCCCGGAGTACCGAAGTTAAAAAGAAGTATGTGGTATGCACCCGAACGTGTCACTGTGCATAGGAAGTGAAAGAACTTACGACGTCCACTAAAATGTCCAAAGCTTTCCCGTCAAAGGATTTGAGCAATTCACAGGCATCATATTGCTTCCATTGATCCTTGTTAGTATTACCCAGATAGCCACCGAAAGCTTTGTGACCCCAAGGACAGTTGATAGGGTTAGCAATTGGGGAGAACGCCGACACCGACTAACCGGACAGGACGGTATACCAATTAGTCAGAAAAAAAGGACAACATTTGAATCCGCGGCTTGTCCACCGCCATTTCACCAACCTTGTAACGACTAGGATTCTTTAGGAAAATTGTTATAGCGCCATGCCCACCCATTGAGTGCCCAAAGATTGAGACTCTATTTTCATCCTAAGCATTGAATGTCAGCTGCATAATGTCCAAAAAGACAAATTATGGGCGCACTGTGTTTGCTTTGAACTTACAATTGGCATAGATTCGTAAATAATGGCAGGAAGTTCCTTGACAATGTATGAGTACATACGATAATGCTTCTTCCATTTTTCTTCAGTCGCATCGACATAGAAGCCGGCTCCAGTACCAAAGTCCCAAGAGTCTTCGTCGCCATCCACTTTCACTCCACCTATAACGTAACAATCAGATCATCCAAAATGGTAATTTGAGAATGTTGCATGGTTACCATACAAACAACAAGTAATATATTTACGTGGAGATGTGTCTGGTGCGATAAGAGCAATTCCGTGCTTTGCTGCTTCTTTGAGAGCTCCACTTTTTTGCACGAAGTTATCTTCGTTGCAAGTTAAGCCCGACAGAAAATAAAGGCCGGGGACCTTGCCTTGGGAAGCATTCTCCGGGAGAAATACGTTAAACTTCATAGTGCAGTCTAATTCCTTTGACTCATGCTCATATTTTATGAGATGGCCATTGAACGCTTTGTTACGAGAAATTTCTTTCAGAGTCATGATGAATCGTTGACAAACTGACGAGCGCAACTCGATCTTACATGACGTGAGATGGACTGCGAAATTTGGGTTGACAAACTCCGGTCAGCGTGTTATTGTGGGAGCTAACCCTTGACTTGGATCAACTTGGTATGAGTAGCAAAAGGTCGAGAGAGAGAAACGAGGATGCTGAAACAGAGCCGAAATTGAAGAAAGCATTCAGCGATCCTCGTCAGAATGTCCATGAATCGAAACGGGCGGCTGAGCAAAGTCAGTATGCAGACTCCGGTGTTAACCTCACGTATGCGGTGGGCTGCACCGAGGAGGAAAATTATGATACTGGTATATTCTATACGTATGACACCATAAGCAAACTCTTATTTTTAATACAGTGACATCTTTTTGCTAGTAACACTCAAAGATATTATTGGCGATGTATGTCGATAACATGTACTCAACAGCTGTGTCTCTATAATTTCACTGACATGCTTTGACTCTTAAGGAAAACCTTCAAGAGCTATACCAATTCAATTTCACAGTCGATTTACACTATCTTATGGAAAACCTAGATGAGAATGTTAAGACAAGGGCTAAAATCATGGTTATTCATGGTATGAAGGAAAGCATTCCTATCATCGAGGTAAGTAAAGGAACATTGAGTGGGAATAGATAAAATTATCAAACAACCGTTTACGAGTTTCCCTCCAGGCCACTGCTCTGATGTACCCAAACGTGGAAATCTACTCTCCAAAAATGATGGATCGTTGGGGTAAGACAGTTATGAAGGAAGACGTTGATTTATAACATGAGTATTGAGCAACTATATGTGGATTTCAGGCGTTCATCACTCCAAGGTACAGTAACGCTCATTTTTAGTGACATTGCATTTAAGGTGACGTGATGATATTAACGTAATTGACAGTGCATGATATTGTTCTGTCAAAAGAACAGTATTAGATACGCCAGAATAGCCGTTGTTACTGCAAACATATGTTATGCTGATTGGAAGTAAGGTCTAACATACAAATTGTATCGCAAACGTTCCGCGTGAACTTACATTATAAGATGGGCTATACCTTAGCAAAATGTGCCAGGCGACATACCGCACTCCGGTGCTGCCTCTCAAATCAGAGAATACAGAAGCAGGAGAACTCATAGGATCAGAGCATGGGTCACCATTCGAATGTGATTTCATCAGCTACTTTCGCGCTTACAATATGAAAGTGACAAACGACTTGTGTGAAAAACTACGATTGTATGACTTTACTAAATGCAAGGTAACCCTTTTGTGAGAGAATGAACTAGCTCGTTATAGTACAGCTATTCTGACTTGAATGTGTTTTGAATAAGGCTGTCATCATAGCTTCCGTGCCTGGATACCACCAAGGTCGCGACGTAGAGAAATGGGGCCTCAAAAGACTACAGCATATTCTGACAAAGAAAGTGGATATCGTGCCGGAATGTCAGAAACAATCTATAATATTAACGCAGGTTGGTATCCTGATGTATATTGTGAAAAGCCGACCACTATCACCAATTTGAAGTTCCTCAACTAGTCCTCAAGTGTTGGTAAATTTACTGAAAAGTGGTATACAGAACAATTTGCTGTATGCATGCGAGGTTGTCGCAATCCACTCTCATGCAGCATCCCACAAGTTAAATTTATCTACCCGACTATTGAAGAAGTTTGCGAAAGGTGAGGTTAATACAACACTGTCGCCTTGTCACACGTTGATACGGGTCTTTAACATATTACTGTTATTTGGATATTAGCGTAACTGGGTTAGAGAGCGCTGGATTTTTACGCATGGACTCGGGTAATATTCCATGAATGCATCACATACAAGTTTAATGCTCTCTAACTATTTCCATGCAGCAACTTATGAAAAGCTGCATTCATGGTTCCCCAGCTATCTTTGTAAATGGGAAGGAAAAGTTGGTGGTCGTCAAAAGATAATGCCTCATTACAAGTCATACACTCGACTCCGGGCGAACCCGCAAACCAAGGTAGACGCGACTGGTAAAGAAGTTGAAGCAAGAGCATCCATTGCGTGGCATCTGGTTACATCAGCAAACTTAAGTAGAGCAGCTTGGGGTGACTTACAAAAGAATGGTACACAGCTTCATATTCGACACTATGAGTTGGGTATCTTACTATATCCAGATCTTTGGGAGGTAAGAATATACGATATGCCCTTCAGCGTTGATATGAGAGATAACGCAGTGCTACATTCTACCAGGAACAGGAAACACATATATTGGCGGCGAACCATCAAAACCCAATGCCAAAACCTCCCGACTTTGTCCCCTTCAAAGAAGGCAATATTATTGTTCCAATACGCATCCCTTACGGTATTCCACCGAGAAATTACACCAGCAGCGATCATTGTTGGACAACAGCATTTGTCGAGTAGTTTTCAAGTAGTAAGAATAGAGTACCCCCGTGTTCTGTATACCGAACTTTGGACTTACTTATTAGCAATGTACCCGCAATATGCTGGCTTTATTGAACATTTTTCTTTCGATTACACTGTATATGCGGTAGTAGGTCACCGAGTGCTATTGACAGCCATTTCGTTTAATTGAACCTTGTTATTTTATGCCTTTTGAAACAATATATTTACATTAAATTTTGCAACTGGGACGAATCAAGTAGAAAGCTTAAGCTTCATCAGCGCCTTCTGTGCTGGTGGAGGTATTCTTCTTCTTCTTCTTTTTCTTTTTCTTCCCTTCACGTTCCGTTAAATACATCGACAAAAAGTCGCCGTTTTCAATTTTCTTGGGCTTTGCACTATATATTGCACTAGGTTTCTGAGCTCCTTGCGCCGATTTCGTAACAGATGTATTCCTGCTCTTGACTGTTGCCGTTTTGGAATCTTCATCATCGTCTTCACTGGCAGGTTTTTCCATTTTTCCGATGACATTCTCTTCATCCAGTCGCCTTTTCCTTGCCACCGTTGCATTTTGATTGAGAATCTTGTTGCGAAGCTTAATATCAGATGCCGACGTTGGGCCACCAACTGCTGGTGCTTGATTGTGCCGGGTCGCCTGGTTATGTGAAAGGAATTTTGCACCAAGTCCAATTCTAACCATCAAGCGAAAAAGATAATCCGTTATCAATGCTATTCTGAATACCAAAGATCACCTTTCAGTATAAGCTCACCTGCCAGGTCGCCCTTGGGTATAGCTTGCTAAATCTTCCTCCTCATTGTCGCTCTCTTCTCCAGGTTGCACTGGTGGGAGCCAAGAATTAACTAGGTCTCGTGCGAGATTAACTGAAACGTCAATCTGTGTTTGCAAAACTTCATTCCCTTCAGTATCTACTTTTGCTTTCTTGGATTTGACGCTCATTTAGCTTGCGCTATTTGGTTCACGGAACTGCGACGTTTCAAAGGCTTCCAACCGAGGAAAAAAAAACAAGTCACTATAAAGTTCCGCGAAATATTAGCCATGCCGAAATGCCGCTTTTGTACATATTCTAATGGCCATAAGCACTTTACAGATACGCCAGTAACGTATACAGAAGAGATCATTGAAATGCCACTGGTCACAATGTCTTCAGAGTCTATTACCGGTGGTGTTGTAAGTCTAAAATCGCTATTACATTTAAGTGTTCCGAGTTTATACTGAGAAGGTCATTACGACAAGAACAATCAATCTAAGCCACATCTTAGTCTTAACCCCGGTTGAAGACAGTAGTCATAAAAAAAATCTTTTCAAATGCAAGGGCAATAGGTATGATTTATGAAAACAGGGTGGTATTGGTACAAGTCTAGTAGTTTCTATGATTATTTACAATTATCTATTTTTTCTTGGGCTTCTTAACGGCCATTGGATGTGGATCAATTCCTTGGCGATAAAATTCAACTCGAGAAAGAATGAACCTAAAGAACACACATTGTTTAGAATCAATGCGAAGGATGGCTAATACATAAAATCATTTATGATACTTACTTTCTCGTCTTTGTAGGAATGCCAAACTCTTTCAAATCTCGACTAGAGACACTGAAAAGCTGCTGCCAGTCTTGAAACTTTGAGGCAAATTCCTCGCTGCCACGTCCAGCGTGCTTCAGAAAGGACTCAACGTCAGTTGTCTTGCCTATAATAGATGAAAAAGTCAGTATGTCATAATTTGGTATGTATGGCTCTACTAGACGCTTCAAAACACGACATGTGAACGTATCAGTAAATCCCAGATCAACATAAAGGTTTCTGTTGTCCCAATCTACTAAAATTTGTTTTTGAGGATATCATCATGTTGTTCACTTGTCGTGTTATGACATTATGCGCCAGTTGGCATAGGTGGCCAGAAACTTGACAAGTGTACCTACCACGTGGAGAGGGAATTTGCTTTCCACCGCTTGGTATAGTGCCTGAGTGTGATAATCGGACTTGAGCTACCAAGCGTCTAATTCCTGGCATCTGCCTTGTGAGTGCGGCCATAGCGATTTAAAGAGTGCTTGCAAAGACAAAAGGTAAACAAAAAAAATCAGTTCGGAAAAAAGTGAAAGAATTTATATTGAAAATTGTATCATAAAAACAAACAAAAAGCAGTACCTTTTACACTTTGTTGAAGGAGCGACCAAACTCCACCTTGTTTCAAAAGCATGTACGTTGACGTCGAATCACCGCACCATTAGCACTTTCAAGTTAAAAAGTACTCTAGCACTCTTTCAATAAATATAGAATAAACGCTACACTATTCCACAAGTTGAATTTGATCACTTCCGCCTGTCATGCGTAATTGTAGCGAACTGCCAACTTCTTTCTATGGTCAAAACGTGAAACGGCATAGTATTAGTTGAGTTACATCTGGAACGGCAAACAGATATCACAATTTTCAGCACTAATTGTAGAGAAAAATAAATCAGTTTAGTAGAGCCTTCGCATATCTGTAGTCGCTTCACGGCCTTTCGAGCACTGTTGAGAACGGCCGTAGTAAAGTGTAAATATTTTAAGGCAGCTTAAATGACGCGCATGGAACTAGATCAGGACATATAAAACTCTAACTATTACCATTCTTATTATACTACAGCAGTTAAAGTAGGGTAGAACTCCATAGTAGATTAAGATTGCTCTCACTTTCTCCAGAAACTGATGCCTGAACAATCAGCAATACCGGAACACCTCTCTTCTTCCCAAACCTTTAATCGCCTTCTCTCCGGGCGGAAACACAATTGACCGTTCCTTAGAATATTCTACCTGCAATTAGTAAATAGCTAAGTTATTCAAAACACATTTAACATATGACTATCTTGTTTTCTTTTTGTTAGCTGCGCGCTAGGTATTTGCATCATGCGGCAAGTTTACGTTGTACAAAGCAACAACCTGTATATTAAGGCACCAGAAAAGTTTTTTGCCCCTCTCGTCTACATTATTGACCTACTACGGAGATGGAAGAAGGACCGAACATTGATTTACCTCCTTCTCCAAGAGACGACCATGATCCTGATCGAAACAATAGCGAAAATAGCGAGCCAAATGGAGATTTTACGCTTCATGAGGCGGTGTCTATTGGAAATCTGGAAGTTGCAGAACTATTACTCGTGCAGGGAGCAGACGTTAACTTAATAGATAGACGAGGCAGATCAGCTTTTCATTTGGCTGCTTTAACTGGAAATACGTCAATGATTTCTCTACTACGTGACCACTATGCCGACGTAAGTACAGCCGATAATTTTACAGAGACAGCCCTTCATATGGCTGCCCGGTTAGGTCACGAAATGGTAGTAGAGAAGCTGCTTGAATACGGCATCGAAATTGACGCAAGAACTGTACCTTTACAAACATCGTTACATCTGGCCGTCAGTTATGGGCATAGAAATATAGTTACATTGTTACTTAATTGCGGTGCCGGGATTGAGGCACAGGACAAAGACTTTGCAAGACCGATTCATCTAGCCGCATTTAACGGATATACAGAAATCCTGTTGCTTTTGCTTGAAAAAGATGCAAACATAAATGCACCAACAATAACTTTACGGACAGCGCTTCATCTAGCAGCTCATAAAGGAAACAAGCAGATAGTAGAACTCCTGCTCGAAAAAGGTGCTGATGCGAATTTATTGGATAAGAATGAACGAACACCGCTACACATCGCAGCTAAAGAAAGTTGGCATGAAATAGTTTACCTACTAATCCGTCATGTTTCGTTTATTGATGCTGTTGACTTAAAATCACGGACAGCATTACACCTTGCCGCGATATCTGGAAATGTCGAATCAGCAGTTAAGCTATTGAATCATTCTGCTTCTATAGATTCTGTTGATATGCTCTCAGAAACTGCTCTACATATGGCTGTAGGGTCTAAACATGCAGAGATGGCAACGTTACTTCTACAACGTGGTGCTAACGTTGATGCAATAGACGGTGATTCACGAACAGCTCTTTCTGTAGCTGTTATGTGTGGTTACCAGGAGATTCTGGAAATTTTACTGGAATATGGAGCTGCCATTGACTCTGAAAATCCATGGCTACACAACCCATTGCATTTGGCAGCGTCTTCACAGAACAAGGAAATAGCATTTTGCTTACTTCGTCGTGGCGCTAAGGTCAATCATGTGGATAGCAATTCACGGACAGCACTTCACTTGGCTGTGTCAACAAAATACACTAGGATGGTAGCTTTATTACTCAATCACGGTGCGGATCCCAACTTAATGGATGCAACTTCAACGACACCCTTCGAGATAGCATTGTTACAAGGAGACGAGGAAATAGTTGACAAGTTGCTTCCTTATGTAACGGATATGAATTCAAAACTATCAACGGGAAACCCACCACTTGTTGAGGCTATAGAGCGTGGGCAAATACAAATTGTTCGCCTGTTGATTGCTAATAACGCAGATTTGGAGATAGTCAATGAAGATGGATGCACTCCTCTACTCATCGCTGCCGAAAACTATCGGCTTGATATAATTTCCCTACTTATAGAAAAAAGCGTTAATAAGGAAGTCAGTGACAAGAATTCAATGACTGCATTACATTGGGCAGCAAAACACGGCGACGCGGACTTCGTGGATTTGTTATTGAGCAACACCACGAATACAGAGAAAAAAAACCGTGATGGTAAAACAGCCCTTTATATATCCACTGAACTCAATCATCGAAATGCGGTAATGGCGCTAGTTCGCCACGGGGTTTGTGTCAACTGCAAAGACCAAGATGGAATTACAGCAGTTCATAAGGCCACTTTGTTGGGCCATGCTGAAATAGTCTCTATTTTAATGGACGCTGGTGCCACAGTAGACGGTAAAGACGACCATATAGCAGCCCTACTCGACATAGCCTCGGGTGCGGGCCATAAAAACGTTGTTGAAACAATTTTAAGCAAGGTGAAAAACTCAGGATCTCCTATTGACTATATGAGTTCGACACTGCTGAATGCTGCAGAATGTGGGAAATTGGACGTGGTATTGCTTCTGCTGGATTGCCATGCTGACATTGAAACGAAAGACAAATATGGGAGAACACCACTTTTCTTAGCTGGCAAATATCCAGATTTAGTTGCCACACTTGTCAATAGAGGTTCATACACCGAGGCCAGAACCTTGCGTGGATATACACCCATCCACTATTATACAGCTCTTGGACATCTCAAATCTTTAAGGCTGTTATTAAATTTAGGCTGTCATATCTCATCTCTTGATTACGAAAGTCAGACAGCGCTTCACCATGCAGTTAAAGGAGACGACCTTATAATTACACAACTGGTAGTGAGCCGAGGTATCGACCTAGATGCATGGGATTATAACGGTCACACTGCCATCCATATTGCCATACAAAAGAACTATATTGATATTGTTGACGTGATTGTTAAAACGGGTATTGATATTGACACGAGCGACCACCGGATTCCAAGAAGCACACCTTTAAAGATGGCAATTGATTTAGAACGTGAAGAAATAGTCGAGCTATTGATAAACCACGGTGCAAACGTGAAATGTATGCTCGGAGACCAAAATTCTTTGCCTTTACATTTAGCTGCCTCGAAGCTCAACCCAAAACTAGTCTCGATGATACTAAATGCTGACGCAGATCCTAATTTGGTAGGCTATGATGGATACTCACCACTCCAGTCATTGATTTACGCACTTCAAAAGAAGATATCTTGCGGAACTATTCCCAATAAACATACGGTACTCGAAGTAACTACTCTACTACTGAAAGCCGGCGCCGATACTAGTCAATTGCATACACCTAGGCAGATAAAGTCTTTATATCCAGAGGTGGCAGATCACCTTTCAAAACTCTCTAGCATTCCATTGCACCAGCATCAGCCATCTGGCTGGCTACCAATAATCTCACATTCAAATCATTATCGTGCTGTCGGTTCTCTTAAAGAGATTCTTTCAAATGCTGAAACTGGCTGCCTATGTAAGTTTGCACGTAACCACAATAATATGACTGCCACACACATAAATGATGCTTACCGCACTCAACTTTAAGCTGTTCTCTCTTCTACAACTATGATGGACGATGTAATGAACAAGTATAGTACGGGCTTTCCGTCATCAAGAGAACTAAAATTAGACAAGTTTAAAGTTGTCAACGAAGCAGTGAACCCTCACAATAATGACTTCGCCGTTATGTCGATGGGTTTCAAAATAACGCACAGTATGTCTAAGGATGATCGAGCTACTAGAATAATCTCGTCTTTAATTCAAGAAATTGGCGCCAGATTTTATTACAGCAACAATTTCTTTGTAGTTAATCTACCTGAAACCAACAATTACATAGCTCCAAGATGGGCATTCAATTTCAATAGCATGAGAGGTGTGGTGCGCCAATCTCCGACGTTATATGTGCAAATCCCACAAATACGCACTGAGCTCTCTGTGCCTGGATGGTATAGGAACGAGAACCCTCTCCTGCGCTTCATTGATGCAGTGTATGTTTGCAGAAGATCGACCCCAGACCACCTTGATAAAGATGTATTCTCAGATATTCTTGGCGGCACCGAGGAAAGACTTGCAATCCACCTACATGCAATATTGATAGCTGGACTCTGTATTCTCAGTGTAGCGGAAGGTCCTCAACTAATTGAGAAACTTGTCAATTCCATTTTAGGATTGAAAGCGGATCCTAACCGAAACCCTGTTTCTGGTATACCTCCTACTGACTGGCAGATTTTGAATCGCATTAAGTGCGATTGTAAGTCGCCGTTCCCTCATCGTCCGCTGACTCCGGTAGCCGCCGCCAAAGCTGTTGGTATACAAATATGGAGAAATCCAGAGCATGAAGCGGTGACTCGGGTTTGGGACCTGATAAATGATAAGCTGGTGCAGGATATCGATATCAGCCATGTAACATTCATGACGCATAAATGGTGTGAACCAGAGGTGCAGTATCACGCCATGTTGGAACAGATTAGCACAAAGTCGGCAAAGTTACAGCATATAAGAGATACTTTACTTCAACACACTCGATATGTATGGTTAGACACCATCTGCATTGATAAAGCCAATTTATCCGAGCTTGATCGAACTATTCGATCAATGTACAAGTGGTATTCCAATTGTCAAGCTGTCGTTCTGGATTCAGGAACTCCGTTGAAGGATTGGTGCAAGAGAGGATGGTGTCTACAAGAAGGCGCGGCTGCTGGAGTACTCTATGGAATGTCTAAAGACGACAAATTGATGACAATCCAAGAACTGGCAAAGGAGCAAAATGTAAATCTCTGTATCTTGGATCTTCACCTCTATTATCGACATGGAAATGCTGCTGAGATACTTGCTAGAATGAATGTGAGAGAAACGACTAGGGAAGAAGATATGACATATGCACTGGCAGGAATATTCCAGATACACTTGACAGCATCGTATGGAGCAAGAAGTGAGCCTCGTGAGAGACTTCTATATGAACTAGCAAAAAAGAAAGGCGATCTGTCGTTCTTAAGCTTTCCAACAATAGACACCAACAACCTTAACCACTTACCAAATCCGTCAGATGTCAATTTCTTGATAGCATCGTGCATAAATTCATCAACTCCCACCAACGACAGTCACCATGGTATTTGCATTGAAGTCCAGCTTGTTCAAGGCGCAGGAGCAAAGATGGTACTGGGAATGTTGAGTCGATGGCAAAACCTCAGAATTTTCCACGGCAAATCAGCAGGTATACCAGAGTTGATTGCGACAGCCGAAAAATTAGAATATAGAAACTCTACAGATATTGAAATTGCTGTCGTTCACGAAATCAGGTCAATTATATTGGTGAAAATCTACGGTGAAGATCGTCAAACTGGCGGAACTCGTCCAATCAAGCTTTGCTTTCGCCTGCAGTGCTGCCAAATAGAAGAAGATGAATTCGAAAGGCTATTCGATGATCTTGATGTAGATCATGAGCGAATATGGTTGAATAGCAAACCTAATAACGCTACTATCTCAAGATTGCAACAAAAGCGTAAGCGACGTAGTACTATCAAAGAACAACCAGTAATCACTTTCCGGGAACCTGAATCTGAAGGCTGCGATGTCACGGATCAAGAATTGGCAGCAAAAAGATTGAAGGTATCCCTGCATGACTTCCTTGTTGACAAAAGGGACCAATTAACCGTTACATAAAAAATTCGATTGTGTAGTCATATCATTCTGCTACCCTTCCTCTTTTTTTTGTTTCCTCCTTCATATTGCATCTATACATAATGGGTTAACAAATCCAAGACAATAATAGAATGATGTTCCATAACATGACTGTCAGAAAGCGAAAGAGTACATGCTTGTCAATGGACGCTCAACTCAAACATGGTATTACTTCGACAGACTTGAAATAACATGGCCATCCCGACAAGCTGGACAGGTGGAGTTTGAGATACAGAAAACACTTCGGCACTATCTTTATTGGCAGGGCCCATTTATACTGACTAAAGGATTGCTACATTATCTAAGGTCCACCGCAACGACTGGGAAGCAAATATTTACCAATCATTAATTTTGCAAGCGTGCAGCGATTTGGATGCCTTGCTGTTCGTACCATCTCTATCTAGCGCAAATGACCAGTTATGCTTTGTGCAGATAACATTATTACCAACGACTTGTCCCCATGTGACAAGATCAACTCCCTATGACGATAATGTGTTAGCAAGAGGAATCAAACTCCATGACAGAATTGACATCGCAATGTACCTTATGTGGACAGTATCGATCACATTCGTATGCTTGGCCGCTTGTAGTCATTACATGTATTTTGTTTCCAGAAGCTTTGATTTTCCTATATGGCGTGGCCGGCTTTGATGTTGTCATATTTGAGGGCCGTGTAAGAGGTCTATCATCGTCTGATGTTGAATCACTGGACGTTTCGCTTTCACTCGAATCAGCAGTGTCACTGGATTTGGCAGCTTCAGCTCCTTCCTTAACTGTATCGCCATCCTTCTCTTGAATAATGGCTGGTTCATTGTCGAAGGAAACCATTTTCAGTGATAGTGATTTTGGGCTTAAAGGCAGATCACTCTTATCAGTATTGACACCATTTGCACCAGACAAAGATGTGGATGAGTTCTGTAATGTGTTACGAAGGGTGTCGGGATCATCACTGGTAACACCGACAGGAACCTCACCAGAGAACTCGCTTGGGTAAGAGTCGCTCTTATGATTGTCCTTCTTCTTGTCCTTCTTCTTGTCTTTCTTCTTGTCTGAACTTTTGTCTGAATATTTTCTCTCGTACTTTTCTCTCTTTCTTCGATCTGATTTCCCCGCATTAGTCTTTGTAAACAATATTTATCATGAAAGTCTGTTGATCCAGTGATACGTACCATATTCAGACTCAATACCAATATTAATTGCCTTTTGTAAAAGATCTTTAACAATGGGCAGTAACGTGATCGTCTGAACGGATGATAACAGTGTCAATCGATATTAGGTCATTTTTCGTTTACTACTGCAATATCTATCGGATTTACCTTCCAGCTTTCGCTAGAAAGCACGCGTAGATCTCTCACCTAGAAGAACTTGAATAAGAATGGTATAAAGGTGCCAAAACTAAAACCAAAATTGCTACTTACAAAGTATAATCGATTGTGTGCGAGGATGGATATATCAGATTCCATTTGTTGAGAGGTCCATGAACGCTCAGCTCCAATTTGTTCCAGTAGCGTTGACACTCTCTGAAGATGAAAACAGTTAACTAAGAGTCGATTGTAGGGGTATATCGAGTTTTGCTTTTCTCACCATGCTATCCGGTAATGGAGTTTCTGAATCTGCAATGTAGATCAGTGACGTGGACTTCAGTAACACATACAAGCAAACAAGCTTCTTACCTTCACCGTTCGTATTCACTTCTAAGGACGACATGTATGCGTCGAGCATGGAACCCATTCCTCGGTTTTTGTTTTTGCCCATGGTAAAAGGTACAAATGAAGGCAGACGAGGGCAAAAACGAGGAGATTGAAAAATTTAGAAAAAAGTCTGTGTTTGGCTATGTATCAATTCTACGCTGGAAAGGGATGCACTCGGTAGGGTTTTGTTTTGACAATCATGTGTGAAAACATTTGCATATCGCTCACGAAGTAGTATAATATCATTATTCTAATATTTCATTTTACACAGATACTGCAGCATTTTTTGGTCATTAGAGTTATTGGAGTACGTTTCCATATTTATGGCTCTGTTGGGACGTGCGTACGACAATCATTTTTCAGGTTCACGGATATAAAGGGTCTGACTACGTCAATAAGGGACTTTATTCAAACCATTTCAAGATCAACATACAGCAGTTTTTAATTCGTAAATTTTGAATGCGTTTTATTATGCCAAGTGTCTGTCTCCAAAGTATTCAAGGAATTTAAAAGTTCTCACACTATGGTGCTGTACCAAGAAATGCGGAGTATGGCCCAAGTATCCCCGCCAAGACTGGCCAAGTTTTGGAATCTTGAGTTTCATTAGAATTCTCTATTGTACCCGACAATGCCAAAAAAGAAGGCAGCCAATGCTAGAGAACCCATACCAGGTACAGCTTCGAGATTCAATTTATATTCGTTTTATGGAATAAGTTTTATTGATTTGAAAATCTTTGTCATCGAACTACTAGAATCCTTCGAAAATGATCCTCCACCACCATATTCTCCTTCCGAAGCTTCCCAGCCTCCCCTGAGTGGGGACAGCCCATCCGTCGCACCCTCAGCGCCTACTGCAAATGATGTGGGATTTTACTCTCATGATGGAGTACCAGCAACCGACAGTAGTGAAGAAAATCAGCTCATGGACCCCTCAGCGCCACCACAAAGATACAATTATGGATCGGTTGAGCCACCAAGTACAACTGGAGACGTCTATCAGGTACATGAACAAAATCAGAGCCTGTATCATACCAGCCAGCAACAACGAGAACAAGCACATCAGTATCGTACCATGGCTCAGCAACAACGTGAGCTGGCGCGTCAGCAACGTGACATTACTCAACAACAACGAGAGCAGGCGCAACAACAACGTAACATTGCTCAGCAACAACGAGAACAGGCATACCAGCAGCGAAATCAAGGAAATCAATTTACAGCACAGGGAGAAACATTTCATACTATGGGAGATCGTCTGCGAGACCAGGGAAGTCGCCTACGATCTCAATTAGGTGCGTCACTCACACAATTGATTTTGTTCTCTGTCATGCCATCATACTAAATAGCAGTCAATTGATAGCTGGTCTAGGAGATCAAATTCGGAATTCTCCCAATGTTCAAAAGCCTCAGTATACCAGAGTAAATCAAACACATGAGGAGGCTGGCTCTACAAGTGAAAGCCAGCCATTAAATGGGCGTACACGACGCAGACCTTTCCTGAAAATATTATGCCATTTACTATTGGTGTGTATCCTTGTTGGTTTCGTTCTGTTTAAGACAGTTACATGGAAACATGATGAAGATCCCAACGGTGACCCTGGCCTTCCAGACCGTTCATCGCCAGTACCCCCAGTCCCATCAAGTACACCATCAATTCCTCCTTCAGACCCTCCTTCAGACCCTCCTTCAGACCCACCTGGAGATTCTCCAAAACATCCCGATGATCCGAAGCAGCCAGAGGACCCCAACATGCCACGGCATCTTCCCGATGGCTCTTCATGTGGTTCTAATTGTGTTGTGGCATCATACCGGTGGCCGATCGAGGACTACTTGCGGTCCTTCAGTTTCTTTCAGTCGGGACAATTGACATCCGGACGTGCTTATATCAAGCGCAGCCGAAGCGCTGCGCCAGGCAATTTTTATGTGTCTTTAGGGCTTACCGGCATTAAAATGAGCGACATTACATTGGTATTCTCGCCCAGTCGTTCAATTAGTGGTGCCAGTGTCATTCTCTCAACACCCAAAGCGATCTCGCCATTCAGTAGGATTGAAATGAATGTTACTGTTGAGCTTCCCTTAGACACCATGGACAGTTTTCAGGATTTTGTGTTTTTGGCTAAAAATACAGACATTGCGTTTGAGGAAATAGATGAATCCAATACCTTCAATATCAGCAAACTTCAAGTCGCCACTACGAATGCTGATTTGATGATGAGCCCTCTTTTCACGACAGATGCAGGTTCCGAAATCACGACACGCAACGGAGACATCAGCGGCATTGTTCGCTCAAAAGGAAAAGTAGAAATCAGTAATGCAAATGGAGATATTGACCTTGACTTGGTCGGAGACACCGCCAATGTTTACACTACTAACGCTGATGTTACTGGCGAATACGTTTGCTCTGCAAAATGCGATTTCCAAACAACGTCAGGCGAATTGAAGATTCGAAAGGTGCAAACCGAAACTTTGCTACTGGATAATAAGAACGGAAGAATCGATGTTCGGAACATATCCTCAGTGTTCAGTGTTGTTTCTAGTGGTCGGAACGACTTTATGAAATTGCAAGTTCAAAGCATCATCCACGGTGCTATGTTTGTGCTTACCAACAAGAATGCCCCTGTTAACTTGACTATGGTGAGTGTTTAAGCGTTTTTAAATTTAGTTATCATGTATGGGTTAGTTAGTTTTCGGTATAATGATTGCTAATTTGATTTGTCATTTTTATAGCCCATGGAATATAGAGGTGATTTCTATCTGTCGACCTCTGCTGGTTACAAGTCTAAAGCCGAACTGGTAAACCCTCCGGACTCCGGGCATTCTTTGAGATTCAAGGTGGTCACTGGAAACTATGTTAAAGGCACAAAACTCACTCCTTCCAACGTCAGAGAAGGCTCGATAACGATTGGTAACGAGAATGACGATGCCACCTTGGTATTTACCGACGAATGAGCAAACCAAATTTATTCGAAAGTCCGATAACCAGTTGATTGGATTCGTCAGCTTCTGGATGATTCCTCTGGATCCAATGCATTAAGCTTGGCAAGCTTACGCATATATATATCTCCATCCACTACACATTTCATTTCTCTTACACCTTTTTCTTTATTGTTATACACCTATCCTTTATTTATCATGGAATTACTAGACGTTGGCAAGCATTGTAATCTGATCTCCTGTCGACAACTAGGTACATACCTGAACGTAGAATATATAAATTCATCAATACATTATAACTAAAACATACCTGTTTTCAACCAAATCGTATAGACTTCTTACCCCTCAAGTGTGCAGACTGTCGCTACAGCTTTTGGTAAGATAGATTGTATATGATGACGAGGAAATTAGAACATTGCATTAACCTGTTTTCATAGCCAAGAACATAGTCACCCAGACGAACACAATTGCCAGAACAAGAACGCTACCCGTGTAGACATCAGGTAATGGATGCAACCAATCGATACTGTGACCATTTCACTTTGACATCTAACAATTGCCTTTGAAGGATACCGACCTGCCAAACCTGCAATAAGCCAGTACCATTGCGAAGTCGAACAGAAGATCCTGAAAAGAGAGTACGTATGCGTTTATAATGTATAGGTGGTAAAAGACGCAATGGTTGACAACTGACTTTTCTTTTTAACAGATGTCAGATCACTTGGCGAGCCATTGCGCTGACATCAAAGTCGATCACAAAGTTTGTACTGCGCCTAATTGTCGGACAAAGATACTGGTACCGATTGCGTGTTCAAGCTGCGGCAAGCAAGTCTGTGTGAAACATCGCTGGCCAAAGGAGCATAATTGTCAACCACAACCAAAAATTATGAAAGCTGTGGCAGATTCCAAAAAGATGTTAAAGGCTTATCGAGCGCTGGTCTACTAAATCGACATCGTTTGTCAGTCACGGCACGGCTGGCTCAGTCGCGCATTAGGCCCCCTGGTTATTTTAAAGTACCACACCTTTTTAACTCCCCCACTCAACCTGTAGAAATGCTCCATCATCTATATATGGATTGACTATTGTACAATCTGCTTCTGCTTTAACATCTCTGTATTTTACGTTACTCTACTAACGCTGATGTTACTGGAGAATACGTTTGCTCTGCAAAATGCGATTTCCTAACAACGTCAGGCGAATTGAAGATTCGAAAGGTACAAACCAAAACTTTGTTACTGGATAATAAGAACGGAAAAATCGATGTTCGGAACATATCCTCGGTGTTCAATGTCGTTTCTAGTGGTCGAAATTCTATGAAATTGCAAGTTCAAGGCATCATCCACGGCGTTATGTTTGTGCTTACCAACAAGAATGCCCCTGTTAACTTGACTATGGTGAGTGTTTAAGCGTTTTCAAATTTAGTTATCATGTATGGGTTAGTTAGTTTTCGGTATAATGATTGCTAATTTGATTTGTCATTATTATAGCCCATGGAATATAGAGGTGATTTCTATCTGTCGACCTCTGCTGGTTACAAGTCTAAAGCCGAACTGGTAAACCCTTCGGACTCCGGGCATTCTTTGAGATTCAAGGTGGTCACTGGAAACTATGTTAAAGGCACAAAACTCACTCCTTCCAACGTGAGAGAAGAGGCTCGATAACGATTGGTAACGAGAACGACGATGCCACCTTGGTATTTGCCGACGAATGAGCAACCAAATTTATTCGAAAGTACAATAAGCAGTTGACTTGGATTCGTCAGCTTCTAGATTATTCCTCTGGATCCAATGCATTAAGCTTAGCAGCATACGTATGCGTTTATAATTTATAAAAATATAAAAAAGAGAGGGAGCTTCAATTGAGGGTGGTGAAATTACATGTCCTTATAGAAGAATAATTATCACCACCCTCAATTCAAACACTTATTCATTTTTTAATTATATGGACGTCGAGGGTGGGTGGGATGGTCAGAGGGGTAAGAGCAGCGCATCCCCTCCGATATACATATAAATGGATTCAAGATCTCATTTTACATACGACTGTCTGATATTCATAGAATTGGCTTGCCACAGACGCTCAACGTCATTCCAAAGCTCTTTCGAAACAAGATATCGATAGCATTGGAAATGCTCTGGTTGGACAAGGGCTTTGCACACGCAAAGTGACTCGGCACACTGAATCATGCGCGGTGGTGAGCTTTTGGTTTTGGCGCGAACTGTGATACCAGCTCTACCAAGTATTCTACTGATCATCCGGTTTAGTGTATGTGTTTCCGGTTTGGTGGTGTATCTATGGTGTTCATCTTGGAGATTGTAATGGCGGCCAAATATGTGAACATAGTAGGCTTCATACTTCCGCAAGATCAAAAACAAAGGGCCCACGGTTACTTTTGTGCCCCAAGTCCGATGGTGAAGTGCTTGGCCAAAGAAGCGACCATCGAAACGCATGATGATCTCCCAAACCATCTCTGCAAATTTCATATTTGCTATTTTGTCCAGACTGGACTTGCAGAAGACTTCCCTGTTGAGCCACCAATTATCAGCATCAGGTGTCTCATCTAAACTCGACTCATACAAGAATCTTTTCAATCAAGTAAGTTAAATAAGGGTCGGCGGTTTGTACATGGCATTATTATTGTTAAACATACCGGTCCATAACAGTCAGCAACATATAATATTTCGAGAGGGCTTTGCGGGTGGAGTTGGCGGTTGAGAATGATTTTGCACTGAGCATGTTTGTCACAACTGCCAAGCCAGCTCCACGGTCGCCGCATAGCATTCGTTCTTGCAGATAAGCAGAATTGGTAGACATCTGCAGCTCCATGATATCAGGAACGTTCCTATAATCCATCTCGTTCAAAAGTTTAACAGTGTCAAGCTCAGTGTTAACACCTGATTCCATTAGTATTTTCAAGCTGCCATTACAATTCTATGTTAGTTACATGTCGATTGCAACGATAACTTCTCTTTTTTTTTGTCTGGATTACCTTCGTTGATTGGTGAGGTAGCGTTGCATGATATCTTCGATCCACTTCATATCGTAAATTCCAGATCCAGCATCTTGCCTGTCATCCACGTAGTGGAAATTGACGTTGGGAAGAAGACGTTCCGCATTCCCAAGATGAATACGTCTATTGGAGGGGTCGGCCGCTTCTGAGCGAACTGCAGCCATGATACTCGTCAAGAAAGCAGGAACACCACTATTAGTATCAGCGATTTCCATCATGGCAGATTTCAGCCGCCTGATCGACGTAATGGTGAGGTTAGATTTAGCAGGCTGAATCCATGCATGCCTTCTACCACTAATATCAGTTCTTCCAAGGAAACGCAGCCGAGACACGACTTGTATCTCTTCCCAAAACGTCAAGACATCTAAAAACAGAAAATCGTAGGAAGTTTGGAAGTGCCTATCAAGACTGTGTCCTACTTGCAGAACACTGGTAACAATCAGAATATCACATTGCAAAGAAAATGTATTTGGATCTTGCAAGAATTTGACCGCCCAAGCTTCGTCTTGAACCTCAGCCCAAATACCTTTGATTCGCTCGGCCGCCTGAATCC